ACCGTCTCCTCTGGGCCAGAACTTCTTCATCCAGAGGAGACGGTTCTGGATGAAGAAGTTCTGGCCCAGAGGAGACGGTTCTGGCCCAGAGGAGACGGTTCTGGAGTTATTTCAGGAATGTGGAGTTCTAATGAGGGGCGGACTGTGGTTTCCTCCACAGACATGGAGTAACAGCAGAACCAGAACCAGAACTCGGACCCAGACTGTAAATCAGCCTGTTGTTATTGTTGCTGCTGGGCGGGTCGCTGTAGGAGGGGGGCAGAACCGGTGGGTCACATGACCACAGCCCACTTCCTGCCAAACACACAATAAGAGACCAGGACCTGCAGACCCACCCAGAAACCTCCAGAACCACCATCCATCTGAAGCTTCAGGACCGACCCGTTTGGACCAGCATGTGGATGTTTGTGATCCTCATCAGCCTGCTGGATCAGAACCAGGCAGCTCCTGTAAGAATGGATCTCATTATGGGTTCATCAGAACCGAGTCGGATCAGTGACCCGTGTTTGTGTTTGAACAGCTACCAGAACACCATGGAGCATTCCAGATGGTTCTGCAGGATCAGCTGGCCCAAACCGCAGTAAGTCTGTAAACCCAGGAGGTGGTCTGAACCAGAACCCTGTCTGGTTCTGAACCAGAACCATGTCTGGTTCTTTTAACTAGAGAAAGGTCACACCGGGCTGAAGGCCTTTGGACATGTCAGGTACTGGACCTCAGAACATCAGAACTAACCGTTCAGATATGAACTGCGTTCAGATGTTCTCTTTTGTTCTTTGGACCTTGGTTCTGTTCCTGTTGTTGATCAGAACTTTACCGGAACCATCTGAGGTCAGAGAGCTGCTGTGGTTCTGGTTGAGGTCCGATAGGGTCTGAGTGGGGTTAGGTTTGGTCTCATTGGGGAGTCACTGGGTCCATGCTGGGTGTGAGTGGGTCTTAGTGGGTCTAAGTGGGTTTCATAGTGGGTCTGGGTGAGTTTATAGTGAGTCTTAGTGGGACTGAGTGGGTTATGGTGGGTCCTACTGGGCCTTAGTGGGTTTATAGTGAGTATTAATGGGACTGAGTGGGTTATGGTGGGTCCTACTGGGCCTTAGTGGGTTTATAGTGAGTATTAATGGGACTGAGTGGGT